TAGGGTTGAGGGTTTGGGGTTTAGGTCCCAAGTTTAGGCTGTTAGGCTGTAGGGTCTAGTGATCGCTTTTACTTGCAGGGAGGTCAGCAACAATTCTGCCAGGCACGCCCGGCGAATCATTTCCCTGACATGCCATCATCAGCCCAACATACCCCCAAACCTCTGATGAAGAGGTCTCCTCTCCTTTAAATAGACCTGAAACCTAAGTCTTTTTGTTGAACGGTTAAGCCCAAAACCCTCTGCATGCTAGACGATCCAGCTCTTGTGGCGGGCCTCCGTTTAAAACGGCCCGGCCGCGCGGGTCCCGGACTCGCGCAAGTCCTTCCGGCGGAGGACAGATCCGAGCTCGGACGAGAGAACGGTTTAGGGTTTAGGGTTTAGCTACATTGCTTACAGGGCTTCGCCCACAAGCCGGCTCTAAGGTTTACCCAAGAGCCCCACTTCCGAAACCTAAATGGCCGATACTGAGGCCTAATTGGCATCCGAGAAGACTTCATGGTTCTAAACTCTCATCACGAGCCTTTGGGTCCATCCTTGCTGGGCGCTTCGCCATTTCTGGTACCCACAAGCGCTACCTTTGCCTACGAGCAAAAGAGCATGCTCCTGAATCTTCCCACCTTTTCTGTTCATCTTGGGCACTTCGGATTATTGTAATATAGGGCCGAAATAATTACCAACNNACCAACACTATTTTGGGGGTTCCTCATTATAATGATAGCATAATATACGGCAAACCCTGTTCTGACCATTAAGACCCGTACTATATATGGTCGCCCTTAGAGGCTACAGCAGCCTCTGGTGGACCGTTTCTGCGCACTGATAAAGTACTCCCGGAGATGAGACGAAGCATCAGAGTTTCTAAGGTCGGTGGCTGTTGCCTAAGGTGCCTTCTGTTGCAGATAGGTTAACTGCCACAAAGGGCAGCTTTCTGGGAGCTTCCTACTCGTAATCACGCATCTTCAGCAATGATCACATATCATAGCTGACGAGTTGTTGGTCTGAAATGCCCGAATGATCTCGCAAAAGAGAAAGTGTACAGTCAGTAAAGTGTGGCCCAGTGTTTCGACTCTTTGTGGCACAGCTTCTGCAGGGGCCAGCATGTCTCACAGGGTCTTTGCGTAAGAACTCACGTCTGAAATCGGTATGAAGTAGTGTTTCTAGGGTGTATATGATGGTTTTTGGCGAGCGTTGTTTGGGCTCCTTGGGGGATGCGAGTAATAAACAGAAGTTGGGACAACTATCTTTGCAATTGCTTATGCACACCTAAGCCTCGAAATCCTCAGACTTTAGCCCTAGACCCTGGCCCCCAAAAAAACGCTGCTCAGACAAGTCCCAAACCCCGACACTTGAACCCTAACTCGCAACCTTACTTGAATACGTTGTCGCTTGATTTTTCTAGCACGAAGTCGAGTTACGATTCGAGGGTGTTCGGGATGCAGCATCTGAGGGTCTTCTTGGGGGACTTGATGTCAATTCTTAGACGTAGCTTCCCCCGTGATCATGGTTAGCAGTCCTTTCTTTGGCTGGTTCGATTATTTTGACAGGGAGGCTAGCAAAAGGAGCGATTTCTCGTGCAAGCCTAACAGCCAGCTTCCCCATGAAATTCAAAAAGCGATAACGGATTTAACGGAATTAACAGATTTACGGTGTCCCAGGGACTGTCACAAGAGAACCTGCTTTGACACAAACTTCGCCAGCAGGGTTTTTGGCAGACTTAACTGTTGCAGCACAGTTAGCATGATCACACTTCGCCATCAAGATTCATTCGGTTTGCTTGCCCCTTTCATCTGATGCACCCACCAAGACCGTTTCAAGGCTTAAGCTTCGTTCCGAAAGGAGTCTTAACTAGCACCTTTTGGACAGTGTGGCCTTCACCACGCTCCTTGAAGGTCTTGTGTGGGTGCACCCGTTCGACAAAGTCAACGTCAGTTGCAATGGGAGAGAGCGCGCGTCTCCGCACAGCATGAGCCCTCTCAGTGCACCAAAGCAAGTAGGATCTCTGAAAGTGTGCATGGAGGAAAGGGCGCGTGCATCTCCTTTATTGTGAGAGTTGTTTCAAAAAGAGTCTAAGTCCTAACACCGGAAGCCTTGAAGTAATTCAGACCTAGATGCCGACAGCAACGATACCCGACCCCAGAGTTTCAAGGACTCGCCCGCCGGAGCCCAAGACCGAACGACTTAACCCGATTATTGACTGCGAAGACGTCAGAGGCGGACCCTGCAACCTCAACCATAGAGCCATAGAGCCCTGAGCCCAGATCCCGAAGCCGTGGTGGCTGAATTCCACTGTTTCGGGTTTAGGCTTTAGGGTTTTAGGGCTTTGGGGTTTCGGCATCACTTGATCCCGGTTGAGTCCTGAACTTGCAAGATCTGCTCCGCAGCTGCTGAGTGAAGTGCAAGCCCCTTGCGACGCAAGCCTCGCGAACACGCGAGCGGCAGACGCAATGCCCGGCTCCTCAGGCATGCAACAACGCTTAGACCACCACCTCCAGATCTAAACCCTGCACCCCAAGCCCTAAACCCTAAACCCCAAGCCCTAAAGCCTGAACTCCCCAGGTCTCATTAATAGGATTGGCGGTATCTCCTACATGAGTCGGATGAACCGACACATGGACCTTCGCTTTCGGGATTCTTGGGTCAAAGCTTCCGCCGTTCGTAGCGCAGAACATAGTTCCTGGGTATCCACGTATGTCACGATCCAGACTGCGGGCGTTAAACCACTTACAGTTTCATCCTCAACCCCAGGTTAAAAAGGAGCTGAAGCCTCATTCCGAAGCCAAAGCCCTTAAGTTCCAACCCTTAAAAAGCCCAACCTTAGACCGTAGCTCGATATCCTACAGAGGGCGACAGTCAGTTCTTAAGGCCCAGTCGCCGGCCATTTGCTGCCTCTGCGGCGGCAGCCGCCCTGCTGTGCCTAGGATCAAATCAAAGGCTACCTAGGGCTTTCGTGCTCAGGGTGTAATATAGAAGCCTGAATGATTACCAAGACGGCTTCTAGGGTCCCATGACAATTATTGTGTAAGCTTGATTGAACGCTTGCCAAACTATAGTTTTTTAAATGCATCTGGCATAAGAACTTCCAAAAGGCCGGAGCCCCAACCGTGAAGCGGAGTCTAAGCCCTAAGCCCTAAACCCTAAGCCCTGAACCTTAAGCCCTAAGCCCTAAACCCTAAACCCTAAACCCTGAACCCTAAGCCCTAAACCCTAAACCCTAAACCCTGAACCCTAAGCCCTAAACCCTGAACCCGAAACCCTAAGCCCTAAGCCCCCAAGTTCAGA